ATACCCATAAAAGATTGTGATTCCTCTTGTTTTTAACCACAAAATAAAAATCATTTATAGATCTATTAAATTTTTATCTAGCAATATACACATGGATCATTAATTATCACTTTGTCACATGCCCTTAAAATGTTAGATTTGACTTTAATTTTGACAAGATTGCCAAATTTGCAAATATTAAAATGAAATTCCCAAATAGTAAAACCTTCAAGTGTTGAAGTTGTGGTTCTTCTTTTACATGACTTAAATTGAGAGAGATCTTTGTTGTAATTTTTTCATTATTGTGATGTTATCTATAGAAATAAGGACATATTATTTTTAAGAATCCTAAATTTATGGATTTCTTATATTGGAAATCTTCTAAATAGGTGTTTTAAGCAAACATGTCCATTAAGAGAAACAAAAATACAATTAAAAGGACGTGGATGATAAATAGAGTGATTTTTACATTAAAAATCTTAAGTTGAAGTTTTAGTCAGAAAAATGTTATATTATTGTAAACCATATGATACAAATAAGAGTCGTTTGTGAGATACTCATAAATAATAAAAAATATTTTCATTCAATAATGTTCCAATGTGAAGAAAGAAACTCACATAGATTACTAGAAATCCAAGTAACATATAAAAAAAAATACTAATTGAGTTATAACTTATAAAACTAATTGAGTTAGTGGTGTTGCTTGAAAAGACTTTATATGCTTTATCTAAAACTAAATTTATGTATTCATTATAAACCAGTGGCATTGATTATAATAATTATAATATGGAACAATATATCAATATATCTGAATGTGAATTTATTTCTCATCACTAAGTATATTATTGCATGAATTGGTTACTAAATGGGAAACTAAGAGTAGAGGGTCTCCATTTATATGTTTGTTTTTCAACTAGATTATATCAATAGTTTAGGATAATACCAACTGTGTTTGAACAAATTCATTAATAAGCAACTTCTCCAGTGACGGTTAAACTCTATAGCAAACCACCTAATCACTCTTTGATGATACACTGATGATGATAAGATGGTTTTATTTAACAAAATTTGAGCCATCCCTTATTCTTGTTGAGCATGCCATGCTATTCATAGGAAGTAATGCAAGAAATTTTAGCATATACTTTCTCCTTATTTCATCTTATTTTAGAAAATACTTTGTTACTAAACATAGTTGTTTACAGTTGAGCAGAGTTATTGACAATCGCCCCAGCATCATTCAGAAGATGAACCAGTTGTTCTGTTTTGTGTTTCTCCCAAACAGCTGCAAGATACAACATAAAACTTTAGATGCAAATAAAGAAAAAAAGAGCAACAAAAACACTGGAACGTTCTTCTCAAAAGAAACTCATGTGCAGGGGCCTTATTACCATAACCTTCTCAAAAGTTAAGGTTTTTGGATTGGAATTACTTTTAGAGTTGAGTCAGGCCTAAGCACAAATTCTATAATCTGAATACATTTTGAACAAATCATTAGGATTTCATGGATTAAACGAGTTACTTGCAAAATATAAAACAACAGGTAAGTTAGATTGAAAAGAAAAAGAAAAAGAATACCTGAAGACAACAACAGGGAAAGAGGACACTATCCCCTTAGCCTTATTCAACGCTGCTTCCATCTGTTCTTTCCTTTTCGCTGAACTCAACAAAGACCCCATTTCTTTTTCTGTATGTTTATATGGTATGGTAATTGAAGAGAAGCAGAATAGAGAAAAAGCTTGATCATTTCTTTTTCTGTATGTTTATATGGTATGGTGATTGAACAGGACCAGAATAGAGAAAAAGCTTAAACAGGTGTTAAAAGGAAAGTGAATAAGCCAAAAACAGAGCACAGATGTTGAATTTTGCTGCTGCTTTCTGGCGCTGGGTTTCGGAGCAGAACAAAACTTGAAACGGTAATTTAGCTGAAAAAAAAAAGAAGATTAAAAGCTGAGTAGTAAGAATTGACGTTTGGAAAATTAGGGTTCAGTTCAACTTGGCAAATTGGTAATTTGGATTTCTTGGAGGAAATTGATCTATTAAACTTTTATATTATCTATTTCTAATTTTTATATTATCCATCTCATAACTTTCAATGAACAAAATGAATACATTTGCCAAGAGCTTCCTTTGCATATCGAAGACAACAAACATACTGTGTTTTTTTGTCAAGAATCCTGTAATTTTCTCAAATTTATATCACACATTTCACCACTGATTAGAAAAACCACCAATTCATTCTTCATAAAGCACTCTATAATGTGATTGACCTCACTGATGGTTTGAATCAACTAGTATTCATTTCATATGTCTAATATCTTTTATCTTTCATTGCTTTATATTTTGCTTTACTTATTGATCACAGAAAATGGTTAGGTGACAAATAACAACATCATGATTATGTTTACCTTGAATTAGGACAGCAGAGGACTTGCAAATATTGTGCAAGAAATATAAGAAATATCTCAAATCTTGGGAATGTGAGTGCTCCATGGATTGTATGCTTCTCAGAATTTCTCTTCCCAAATTTCAGGACAATGAGGAGAAAAGCATGCAGAACCATTAAACCACCACAGATCACAGCTAACCAAAACATGCTTCTGTAGAATTCTGTCCATCTATTAGACAAAAAAAAGAAACAAATCTTATTATCAATTATAATAAATAAGAATATATTGTTGAAGCACTTGTACTTGACAAATAAATAAATTATAATCTGAAAACAGAGTATGCTTCTTGATTTATCTCATGGAATGCCTTTTCTTATTGTTATAGATGCAGAACATAAAAGACCTTATTGCAAAACCTTCCTAGTCATTTTGAGTGTTTAATTCTACTATTGTTTCTTCTTGCATTTGAGCATGCTTTGAAGTTGAGACAAATTAAATGGTTTTGACTTAACATTGAATCCATGTGTCATCATGAGATCTTTATGTCATCATTAAATGGTTTCACAAAAACTGAAAATGTTTACGTGAAGTAGCTTACAAATGTTCTTCATGAGATCTTTATGTCATCAAACATAATGAGATTCTCCCAAAATATTGAAGAAACGTACATTCTCTACAAGTATAAAATAAACTTTTGTTAGTTTGATGAATACTATGAAGTGCAATTTTACGTATTTAAGATGAAACCCATTACAAATAACATTTGCATATGTTTAGCTACACAACTTATGTCACTTGAACTAAATTAAATACTTGTATCTAACATAATTTGATACTCATGAAGGATTGTGATTCCTCTTATTTTTAACCACAAAATCAAAATCATACATAGATTTATTAAACTTTGATCTAACAATATACACATGGATAATTAATTATCACTTTGTCACATGCCCTTAAAATGTTAGATTTGATTTTAATTTTGACAAGAGTGCCAAATTCTCAAATATTAAAATGAAATTCGCAAATAGTAAAGCCTGTTGAAGTTGTAGTTCTTCTTTTACATGACTTGGATTGAGAGAGATTTTTTTTTTAAATCTTTCATTGTTGTGATGTTATCTATAGAATCAAGGACGTATTTTTAAGAATCCTAAATTTATGAATTTTTTATATTGAAAATTTTTCTAATAGATGTTTTAAGAGAAACAAAAATACAAGTAAAAGGACGTGTATGATAAATAGAGTGGTTTTTGCATGGAAAGACAGAAAAATGTGTTGATAAACGATGATACAAATAAGAGTCTCACTTGTGAGATATTAATAATAAAAAATAATTTCATTTTAAAAAAACATTCAATAATGTTATAATGTGAAAGAAAGAAACTCAGAGAGATTATTAAAAATCTAAGTAATATATAAAGAATACTAATTGAGTTAGTGGTGTTGCTTGAAAAGACTTCGTATGCTTTATCTAAAACTAATTTTATGTATTCATTATAAACCAGTGGCATTGATTATAATAATTATAATAAGAGTGTGAATTTATTTCTCATCACTAATGTATATTATTGCATGAATTAGTTACCATAAGAACAGAGGGTCTCCATTTATATGTATGTTTTACAGCTAGATTAGGAGTTATAAGTCAAATTGTACCGGTAGATGGAACCGAAGAAGACATTGAATGTTATGTGAAATATTTATTCCAAGAATAAAAATCGTCAAATATTTGTAAGGTTTACATTATATTTTGTTTTACGTTTTATATTTTTAGCATCCAAGCATGCGTGAATTTAGATGACTTAAAACTCTAAGATTATATTAATAGTTTAGGACAATACCATCTGTGCTTGAACAATTTCATTAACAAGCAACCTCTCCAGTGAGGGTTAAACTCTATAGGGGACCACGTAATCACTTAGAAAAATTACACGTAATGATGTTTCAACTTTGATGATACATTCATGAGGATAAGATGGTCTTATTTAACATAATTTGAGCCATCTCCTATACTTATACTTGCTGAGCATGCTATTCATGCGAAGTCATGCTTGAAATTTTAGCATATACTTTCTCCTATTTCATCTTATTTTAGAAAATACTTTGTTACTGAACATAGTTGTTCACAGTTGAGCAGAGTTATTGGCAATCGCCCCAGCATCATTCAGAAGAGGAACTAGTTGTTCTGTTTTGTGTTTCTCCAAAACAGCTGCAAGATACAACATAAAACTTTAGATGGAAATAAGGAAAAAAAGAGCAACAAAAGCATTGGCACGTTCTTCTCAAAAGAAACTTGTGTGCAGGGCCTTACTATCACAACCACCAATGTGCTTTCTTCCAATAAACACGTTAGGCACTGTCCTAAGTCCTGTCCACTCGATTAAAGCTGAATGAATATCATCTCCATCTCCTTCCATTACATGAAACATTATATAATGAAAAAGTATAAAGTAATAATAATCGAGAATATCGATAATGCNTGCAGACACGAGAAAGTCGATGGAGTATGCAGACACGAGAAAGTCGATGGAGTATGCAGACACGAGAAAGTCGATGGAGTATGCAGACACGAGAAAGTCGATGGAGTATGCAGACACGAGAAAGTCGATGGAGTATGCAGACACGAGAAAGTCGATGGAGTATGCAGACACGAGAAAGTCGATGGAGTATGCAGACACGAGAAAGTCGATGGAGTATGCAGACACGAGAAAGTCGATGGAGTATGCAGACACGAGAAAGTCGATGGAGTATGCAGACACGAGAAAGTCGATGGAGTATGCAGACACGAGAAAGTCGATGGAGTATGCAGACACGAGAAAGTCGATGGAGTATGCAGACACGAGAAAGTCGATGGAGTATGCAGACACGAGAAAGTCGATGGAGTATGCAGACACGAGAAAGTCGATGGAGTATGCAGACACGAGAAAGTCGATGGAGTATGCAGACACGAGAAAGTCGATGGAGTATGCAGACACGAGAAAGTCGATGGAGTATGCAGACACGAGAAAGTCGATGGAGTATGCAGACACGAGAAAGTCGATGGAGTATGCAGACACGAGAAAGTCGATGGAGTATGCAGACACGAGAAAGTCGATGGAGTATGCAGACACGAGAAAGTCGATGGAGTATGCAGACACGAGAAAGTCGATGGAGTATGCAGACACGAGAAAGTCGATGGAGTATGCAGACACGAGAAAGTCGATGGAGTATGCAGACACGAGAAAGTCGATGGAGTATGCAGACACGAGAAAGTCGATGGAGTATGCAGACACGAGAAAGTCGATGGAGTATGCAGACACGAGAAAGTCGATGGAGTATGCAGACACGAGAAAGTCGATGGAGTATGCAGACACGAGAAAGTCGATGGAGTATGCAGACACGAGAAAGTCGATGGAGTATGCAGACACGAGAAAGTCGATGGAGTATGCAGACACGAGAAAGTCGATGGAGTATGCAGACACGAGAAAGTCGATGGAGTATGCAGACACGAGAAAGTCGATGGAGTATGCAGACACGAGAAAGTCGATGGAGTATGCAGACACGAGAAAGTCGATGGAGTATGCAGACACGAGAAAGTCGATGGAGTATGCAGACACGAGAAAGTCGATGGAGTATGCAGACACGAGAAAGTCGATGGAGTATGCAGACACGAGAAAGTCGATGGAGTATGCAGACACGAGAAAGTCGATGGAGTATGCAGACACGAGAAAGTCGATGGAGTATGCAGACACGAGAAAGTCGATGGAGTATGCAGACACGAGAAAGTCGATGGAGTATGCAGACACGAGAAAGTCGATGGAGTATGCAGACACGAGAAAGTCGATGGAGTATGCAGACACGAGAAAGTCGATGGAGTATGCAGACACGAGAAAGTCGATGGAGTATGCAGACACGAGAAAGTCGATGGAGTATGCAGACACGAGAAAGTCGATGGAGTATGCAGACACGAGAAAGTCGATGGAGTATGCAGACACGAGAAAGTCGATGGAGTATGCAGACACGAGAAAGTCGATGGAGTATGCAGACACGAGAAAGTCGATGGAGTATGCAGACACGAGAAAGTCGATGGAGTATGCAGACACGAGAAAGTCGATGGAGTATGCAGACACGAGAAAGTCGATGGAGTATGCAGACACGAGAAAGTCGATGGAGTATGCAGACACGAGAAAGTCGATGGAGTATGCAGACACGAGAAAGTCGATGGAGTATGCAGACACGAGAAAGTCGATGGAGTATGCAGACACGAGAAAGTCGATGGAGTATGCAGACACGAGAAAGTCGATGGAGTATGCAGACACGAGAAAGTCGATGGAGTATGCAGACACGAGAAAGTCGATGGAGTATGCAGACACGAGAAAGTCGATGGAGTATGCAGACACGAGAAAGTCGATGGAGTATGCAGACACGAGAAAGTCGATGGAGTATGCAGACACGAGAAAGTCGATGGAGTATGCAGACACGAGAAAGTCGATGGAGTATGCAGACACGAGAAAGTCGATGGAGTATGCAGACACGAGAAAGTCGATGGAGTATGCAGACACGAGAAAGTCGATGGAGTATGCAGACACGAGAAAGTCGATGGAGTATGCAGACACGAGAAAGTCGATGGAGTATGCAGACACGAGAAAGTCGATGGAGTATGCAGACACGAGAAAGTCGATGGAGTATGCAGACACGAGAAAGTCGATGGAGTATGCAGACACGAGAAAGTCGATGGAGTATGCAGACACGAGAAAGTCGATGGAGTATGCAGACACGAGAAAGTCGATGGAGTATGCAGACACGAGAAAGTCGATGGAGTATGCAGACACGAGAAAGTCGATGGAGTATGCAGACACGAGAAAGTCGATGGAGTATGCAGACACGAGAAAGTCGATGGAGTATGCAGACACGAGAAAGTCGATGGAGTATGCAGACACGAGAAAGTCGATGGAGTATGCAGACACGAGAAAGTCGATGGAGTATGCAGACACGAGAAAGTCGATGGAGTATGCAGACACGAGAAAGTCGATGGAGTATGCAGACACGAGAAAGTCGATGGAGTATGCAGACACGAGAAAGTCGATGGAGTATGCAGACACGAGAAAGTCGATGGAGTATGCAGACACGAGAAAGTCGATGGAGTATGCAGACACGAGAAAGTCGATGGAGTATGCAGACACGAGAAAGTCGATGGAGTATGCAGACACGAGAAAGTCGATGGAGTATGCAGACACGAGAAAGTCGATGGAGTATGCAGACACGAGAAAGTCGATGGAGTATGCAGACACGAGAAAGTCGATGGAGTATGCAGACACGAGAAAGTCGATGGAGTATGCAGACACGAGAAAGTCGATGGAGTATGCAGACACGAGAAAGTCGATGGAGTATGCAGACACGAGAAAGTCGATGGAGTATGCAGACACGAGAAAGTCGATGGAGTATGCAGACACGAGAAAGTCGATGGAGTATGCAGACACGAGAAAGTCGATGGAGTATGCAGACACGAGAAAGTCGATGGAGTATGCAGACACGAGAAAGTCGATGGAGTATGCAGACACGAGAAAGTCGATGGAGTATGCAGACACGAGAAAGTCGATGGAGTATGCAGACACGAGAAAGTCGATGGAGTATGCAGACACGAGAAAGTCGATGGAGTATGCAGACACGAGAAAGTCGATGGAGTATGCAGACACGAGAAAGTCGATGGAGTATGCAGACACGAGAAAGTCGATGGAGTATGCAGACACGAGAAAGTCGATGGAGTATGCAGACACGAGAAAGTCGATGGAGTATGCAGACACGAGAAAGTCGATGGAGTATGCAGACACGAGAAAGTCGATGGAGTATGCAGACACGAGAAAGTCGATGGAGTATGCAGACACGAGAAAGTCGATGGAGTATGCAGACACGAGAAAGTCGATGGAGTATGCAGACACGAGAAAGTCGATGGAGTATGCAGACACGAGAAAGTCGATGGAGTATGCAGACACGAGAAAGTCGATGGAGTATGCAGACACGAGAAAGTCGATGGAGTATGCAGACACGAGAAAGTCGATGGAGTATGCAGACACGAGAAAGTCGATGGAGTATGCAGACACGAGAAAGTCGATGGAGTATGCAGACACGAGAAAGTCGATGGAGTATGCAGACACGAGAAAGAAAGTCGATGGAGTATGTAGACACGAGAAAGTCGAAGGAGTATATAGACACGAGAACACGAGAAAAACAATGCAGTATAAAAACACGAAAACACGAAAACACAAAAACACGAGAAAGACGATGAAGTATAAAAACACGAAAACACGTGAAAGACGATGAAGTATAAAAACACAAATACACAAAAAAGACGATGAAATATAAAAACACAAATACACAAAAAAGATGATGAGGTATAAAAGCACAAAAACAGAAAACACAAAACACGAAAAATACGATGAAGTATAAAAACACAAACAAAAAACACAAAAATACGAGAAAGAAAAAGCACAAAAACACATAAACAAAAGAATAAAAAATAAAAAACATAAAAACACAAAAACAAAAGAAAGACGATGGAGTATAAAAATAAGAAAGACGATGAAGTTTTAGATAAAAGAAACTTTAGGTTAGATTGAAAATGATATCAAGTGGATTGTCTAGATTTCAATTTCAACGGGTAAATATTGTCTTGCCTAAAAGCTTTAATACACTCTAAAAGCAGGTAACTCACCTTAACTTGAAAATAGACTCTTAAAGCAAAGAATAAGCGAAGACAACAAACATGAAAACAGCATTGATCTAACAAGAAAAGAAAATTGATATAATAGACCAAACATGAAATCACTCGAGAGAGTATTCATAGCACTCTTACTTTCTGTGTCCAATTCAAAAACCTTGTAGGATGCTCCAAGCTGTAGGAAGAGATCTTTGACCCGCTTGCAATAACCACAGTAAGTCTTGCTGCCACCACACACAGATTACACGATGGAATTACTAATATAAAAAAGAGAAAATTTAGAGCTATTTCATTGTACCGTGCACCTAACTATTCCTAAGCTCACAACCAAAAACTAATTGGTTGAAGGGTAAACATTTTTGAAGGGAACTTTCAATGTCTCAACAGGTATTGGAGACCTCAAATTGTACGGTGATTGTAGAAGAATTAAATCTATTTAAGGTTTTTGTATTGGAATTACTTTTAGATTTGAGTGAGACCTAAATACAAATTAATCTGAATACATTTTGAAAATCATTAGGATTTCATGGATTAAACAAGGTACTTGCAAAATATAAAACAACAGGTAAATTAGATTGAAAAGAAAAAGAAAAGAAATACCTAAAGACAACAACAGGGGAAGAGGATACTATGCCCTTAGCCTTATTCAACGCTGCTTCCATCTGTTCTTTCTTTTTCGGTGAACTCATCAAAGAACCCATTTCTTTTTCTGTATGTTTATATGATATGATAATTGAAGAGGAGCAGAATAGAGAAAAAGCTTGAAGCTTTGGCTTTGGACAGGTGTTGAAAGGAAAGAGAATAAGCCAAAAACAGAGCACAGGTGTTGAATTTTGCTGCTGCTTGGTGGCACGGGGTTTGGGAGCAGAACAAAGCTTGAAACTGTAATTTAGCTGAACAAAATGAAGATTAAAAGCTGAGTAGTAAGATATGACGTTTTGGAAAATTAGGGTTCAGTTTAACTTGGCAAATTGGTAATTTGGGTTTCTTGGGGGAAATTGATCTATAGTGCGAGGAGAATATAATAACATCATCAGAATAAAGGATGATAACAACGAGAAGAATAAAGGTTTCGATTTTTAAGGTAAGAATTTATTCATCTCCATTCTTCTATTTAGTAAATATGAATTTTTTACTCTCTTTGTTGCTTTGACTTATCTCTTTCTTCCCTCTTTGTTGTTATATGCAAAAAAAACCTTGATAATATGCAAAAAACGATTAACACATAGAATTGTGCACCATCTTACATGATAAACAAGTTGACAGGAACGGGAGGCAAATCCATGTAGATTTATTACAGTAAGATACAAATTGTTCTAAAATGAGATACGAATCTAACTATTTTCTGTATTATTTGGAAGAAAAAATGGCTTCCAAATCTTTGTACAATGAACTTGATTTTGACTTGAACTCAGAAGATGAGCTCCCACTCCTTTTGTTTCCCCATAACCCACTCCATGCAGTAGTGCCACTAGTCGAAGGATCATTTACACTTCTTTCCCTACCAAAGCTAGACTTTGCAAATTCCCTTATCTGTTTCAACCACGCTCCATCAGGTGTACCCGAGCTTCTACTACTTGAGAATCTTGACCTGTCACCACCTGAAGCAGTGTCTCTAGACTCTTCATTATTCCCAGTTCCGTTTTGTGGTAACCTATTTACCAAGTCTTTGATGCACTTTTGAGGGATGAAATACAAAAGAAACCCAATCAAGGCATTTTTTAAACCTACCAAGAGTGATTTTTCCTCAGGGTCCAGCATCTTTGTTTGCACATATAAAGCATACCATTCATTGATGATCTGTGCACAATACTCCACTAGGAACAGCACTAGCATGAAAATCCCAGTCTTAGTCTCAGCTCTCACAGAAAATTCCTTCTTCAGAAGGACAAAACAAGTACCAAATAAAGCAACTTCACAGGTGAGTGAGATAATCTCCACTAGCTGAACCCTTTTCTTTATAAAAGGTTTCTTTAGCAACATGAAGAACAGCTGAAAAGAAGTCATAGACAACATAATAATCACAGGGGTCTTAGAAGACTGAGTTGGAACAAAGTGACCTGCCAAAATTCCCAGTGAAACACGCCTTATGGATTCAAGAAACACGTAGTATATCCTAAGAATCCCAAACAGCTTTTGGATGAAAGGTGCTTCTGCATCTTCTGTTTCATCATCAGAGGCAATGATGCGGTCTCTTTGACTTGGAGGGTTGCCAGTGCCACCAGATATCTGTGAAAGCATGTACTTTGGAGGGCCTCTCAAGTCTTCAAACAGTGGGCCAAAGATGGTTAGATAAACAGATCTAGGTTGTTCTTTCCATGTCCATTGGCCTCTTTTACCTGGCCCCAGAGTTACTCTCACAAGCTCTTGGTACCAGTGAAATGTCAAACCTTCTTGATGGACTTCCTTGTATTGAAGCAACTTTCCAAATGTGATTCCAATGGAGAGGAACAAGAACAAAGCCAGTAGAACAATGGACACAAAAACGAACAGTATAGTCCCAACAGCAATTCCAGAAGGAGATCCCCCTATAGCCATAATGCAAAAGAGAAAAATTAAACCTAGTGATTGTGTGAGAGAAGTTTTGGACTTCTGAATAAATGGCCTTGCATTGAATACTGAAATCATATAAGGGAAGTGATCTCATTGCTGTCATCTATTTCTAATTTTTCTATTATCCTTCTCATAAGTTTCAATAAATCAATTGAATACATTTGCCAAGCGCTATAATTTAGACCAGGTGAGATAATGATTGGAATATCTGTGTTCACCTCCTGAGAGGGAAGGAAAACAGGAACCATAAACTCTTCAGTTATCAGTTTAGATTTTGTCAAAACAAAGAAAGGAATCTTCCTTTTCATATCGAAGACAACAAACATACTGTGTTTTTTTGTCAAGAATCCTGTAATTTTCCCAAATTTATATCACACATTTCACCACTAATTAGAAAAACCACCTATTCATTCTTCATAAAGCACTCTATAATGTGATTGACCTCACTGGTGGTTTGAATCAACTAGTATTCATTTCATATGTCTAATATCTTTTATCTGTCATTGCTTTATATTTTGCTTTACTTATTGATCACAGAAAATGGTTAGGTGACAAATAACAACATCATGATTATGTTTACCTTGAATTAGGACAGCAGAGGACTTGCAAATATTCGGTAGTGCAAGAAATATAAGAAATATCTCAAATCTTGGGAATGTGAGTGATCCATGGATTGTATGCTTCTCAGAATTTCTCTTCCCAAATTTCAGGACAATGAGGAGAAAAGCATGCAGAACCATTAAACCACCACAGATCACAGCTAACCACAACATGCTTCTATAAAATTCTGTCCATCTATTCGACAAAAAAGAAACAAATCTTATAATCGATTATAGAATATATTGTTGAAGCACTTGTACTTGACAAATAAATAAATTATAATCTGAAAACAGAGTATGCTTCTTGATTTATCTCATGGAATGCCTTTTCTTATTGTTATAGATGCAGAACAAAAAAATGTATCCTCTTAGTCCATTTTTGAAGCAGTGGTTCATTTGCAAACCTTTTCTGACATCTGGTTGAAATTGGGTATATCATGTGTTGACAACTAGAATGCAATATACTAAGTTGGCAATTTCCAGTTAACATTGTAGTAAAGTATTGGTGGTCTAGTATTCAATTTCCAGTTAACATTGTAGTAAAGTATTGGTGGTCTAGTATTCATTTTTTTTCAAAACAATATTAGGTTGAGCTAACAAAAAGTGAGTTGAGTGTTTTGCTAGTATCCTTTGTATGCTAATGATGACCTTTTCTGTATATAAATGAAAAAACTGATTTCCAAATATATTGTAATGTATTGAAACATATAACTTACCCAGAGGGATGTTGTGAATCCAAAATATATTCAGCTTCTGGTTTCATATTTTCACTCTGCAAGTGTGCACTATGAATTAAGAATTGACGATTTTTCATTAACATAGATAAGAAATTCAATTTCTCTGCACTATTGATATACATCTCAACTTATTCTAACCTCAAAATATTGCTGGTACTCTGAAGAAGTAAGTGGTGATCCATACACTGAAGCAGCCAAATTCAAACTCTTAACTAACTTGTTTGGGATTGTTGCTGGAGCCTTGTTGATGACCTTAGAGGTTCCAAAGGGATTAGAGCTTACCTTGAATAGGTTCATTGGTTCATTTTCCCATGGAACAGTAAAATAGGGTATGGTCCATTGCAAATGTCTGGCAAATTCATAAAACTCGACTGGCAACTTAACTGCTAACCATCTAGATAGTGCAAACACCTGAATATGGCCCAAAATTCTCTGCATGATTGACAAAGTTATCCTATCAATGTGGTTTTCTCTCCATAATCACTATAAAAATAAAAGAACATTCTGTAATTTACAGAAACTTTTCAAAGTTGAAAGAAAACTAAAAGTTCAAGATGCTAAAAGAAAATTATTTCATGTTGGTTGAGAAGAAGCAATGGTTTCTACTCTCTACCCTTGAATGCAAAATCTAGGACCAATATTTTGTTTGTGACAAGTTGGCATGGAAGAAAGTGAGTTAGTGAGTGAGCAACTGAGCATTGAAATAGAGAAAATTTATCTTCATCCATTGTTTTGTTTTTACTTTTCCTTGTTTATAAACTCGATCAAGCTCCATTTGATAATTTGTCAAGCTTGATATCTGAGTCTCTCTTCCAAAGTATTCTAGGTCACTGACTCTCCATTTAAATAACAGGATATAAACTGGTGTAACTTGTCAGCAGGATTCAAGTTAAGTGTCTCACAAGAAGATTCCTCGCTGGATCGAAGACCAAGAAAGACGATGATCTTGTAAATGTACCAACAGATTGAAGGCTTGCAGTTGAGATAGTAAGAAAACCCGCAGCAATTGATGTCACCACAAATGAAGCAGTTGCAAATGCTGAAACCACTGAGGAAATGAGAGGCATAGAGTCTGCACGATTGCAAAACCATAAATATTTTAACAACTTGATAAAATAGGTGCAAATAAAAAAACAATATTGTGATATACACGAATAGAAATGCTCACAAGATGGGAAAAAAAAATCAGCTCTAATAGCAACACTATCACCAAAAAAAGAATGAATAAGCAAAACTAAAAATCTTACAGCGCCTCACTTGTAGAAAATTGGAAGCTAGATTTTTGTTCCCAGCAACATCTCTTGTTACATTCTCATGCACACCAACAAAGACTAAACCATCATCTGCTAGTAACTCAACCATGTATATGTCGCGTCTTATTTCATGGAAACTAGTCAGAAAACAAAAGTTGATGTCTGTCAATAGACATTTGGCTTTCACATAATGATTGTGGAGAGAGAGAGGGATATTTAGCATGCATTGAATTACTAGTGTCATTTTACACTATATACAATATAATAAAATGGTTAAATATATTTTTAGTATCTGTCACAAACAATTTAGTCTTCAAATTTTTAAAAATAAATAAATATCGTCCTTCTAATTCAACTTCATTAGAAAATTTTGATGAGTTAAATGCGGTTTGAAGACAATGTTTGAGGTGTTTACCTAAGTTTCAATTCAAATGTCAGCCTAAAATACCTTTTAACAAATCTAAAAAGATTAACGTTATTAGTTTTAAAAGATTATATCAATTATTTTTTAAGTTTAGGATCAAAATATAACAAATTTTCAAACCAGACCAATTCCAATTTTGTGTTCAAGTTTGAAAGGTTAAAAACATATTTATATCCTAAGAAAATGACCATCCACAAAAATACTTACCTTTTTAGTAAACCCCCTGAAATTGATATGCAAGAGGAGTTGAAGCCAAAAACAGGCTTCACAAATTTAACTAATATTTGGAGATT